CTCTGAGAGAAACATTGAAACGAAAGAAGGACTTCGATTGAAAGCCAGGAGGAGTCTAACGAAAGAGAGAGGTTGCAAACGAATGTGAGGAGTCGAACGAAACAAGACAGGGCTTGAACGAAAGAGGACAGGCTCTGACGGAAGAGGACAGACTCTGACGGAAGAAGGTAGGCTTCAACGGAAGAGGATAGACCCGAACGGAAGACTCTTAGCGGAAGACTCTTGTAACGGAAAGGATGGATCCGAACGGAACAGGACAGGCCGCTAGCCCAGCAGAAGAGAATAGACTCTAACGATCCCCCTTGGATTTTTTTAGGGGTACCTGTCCAACGTCAACGTTTGCGATTTTGTCGTGGACGTTGGTGTCAGCAATTCTATAGAGATTTCATGTTGAAAACAGCATTGGGTAATAGTAAGCTAAGAGTCTTGTCACATCTGTGAGGGAACATCTACCAACAAGGCTATCAGATAAACATCATCATCATCATCATCATCAGCATCAGCATCAGCATCATCATCATCATCATCATCATTTGAGCCACGAAAAAACCTCAATGTATTGTTTATGTAAGGGAGTTATACTACATCACTTTCGCGAAACAGAAATGCTGGGTCGCGAAAGATCGCGAAAGTAATTTGCTTCGCGAAAGGTCGCGAAAGAGAAGTTTAAGATATTTCAAATTGTTTGTTTTGTTCAAGATGGCATGTCTTAGAGACGTTTCGAAGCTGACAGGCAACAAGAGGCTGAGAGGTGTCAAGAAGCTTAGAAGCGTTTAGAGGCTTAGAGGCGTTTAGAGGCTTCGAGGCGTTTAGTGGCTTCGAGGCGTTTGGAGGCTTAGAGGCGTTTAGAGCCTTAGAGGTGTCAAGAAGCTTAGAAGCGTTTAGAGGCTTAGAGGCTTAGAGACTTAGAGGCGTTTAGAGGCGTTTAGAGGCTTAGAGGCGTTTAGAGGCTTAGAGGCGTTTAGAGGCTTAGAGGCTTAGAGGCGTTTAGAGGCTTAGAGGCGTTTAGAGGCTTAGAGGCGTTTAGAGACGTTTAGAGACGTTTAGAGGCTTAGGGGCGTTTAGAGGCTTAGAGTCGTTTAGAGGCTTAGAGGCGTTTAGAGGCTTAGAGGCTTAGAGGCGTTTAGAGGCTTAGAGGCTTAGAGGCGTTTAGAGGCTTAGAGGCGTTTAGAGGCTTAGAGGCGTTTGGAGGCTTAGAGGCGTTTAGAGGCTTAGAGGCTTAGAGGCGTTTAGAGGCTTAGAGGCGTTTAGAGGCTTAGAGGCTTAGAGGCTTAGAGGCGTTTAGAGGCGTTTAGAGGCTTAGAGGCGTTTAGAGGCTTAGAGGCGTTTAGAGGCTTAGAGGCGTTTAGAGACGTTTAGAGACGTTTAGAGGCTTAGGGGCGTTTAGAGGCTTAGAGGCGTTTAGAGGCGTTTAGAGGCTTAGAGGCGTTTAGAGGCTTAGAGGCTTAGAGGCGTTTAGAGGCTTAGAGGCTTAGAGGCGTTTAGAGGCTTAGAGACGTTTAGAGGCTTAGAGGCTTAGAGGCGTTTAGAGGCTTAGAGGCGTTTAGAGGCTTAGAGGCGTTTAGAGGCTTAGAGGCGTTTAGAGGCGTTTAGAGGCGTTTAGAGGCTTAGAGGCTTAGAGGCGTTTAGAGGCTTAGAGGCGTTTAGAGGCTTAGAGGCTTAGAGGCTTAGAGGCGTTTAGAGGCTTAGAGGCGTTTAGAGGCTTAGAGGCTTAGAGGCGTTTAGAGGCTTAGAGGCTTAGAGGCGTTTAGAGGCTTAGAGGCTTACGGGCTGCCTCCGGACATTAGAGACTTAGAGGCTTAGAGGCTTACAGGCTGCCTCCGGACATTAGAGGCTTAGAGGCTTAGAGGCTTACAGGCTGCCTCCAGACATTAGAGGCTTAGAGGCTTAGAGGTTTAGAGGCTGGCGACGAACTGGAACCCCCCCTCCCGCTACGATGAGTTGCGGGATGTGATCATTGCGGGGGGAGAAGATCATCTCTGGGTGTGTGCGCAATCTGCCGCCAAGCGTTTGGGTGTGTGCGGCTGTGAAAGGCTTCAAAGACTCCCCCCAAAATCAAGGAAATTTGCGAGAACTGCCCGTAGCTCCTAACTAAGATTATCCGCAGGTGCGATGCTGTGAAATACCTCAGTCAAGGGACGTCATGAGTCGGAGCAGATCCCTCCAGACCTCCAATCTGCCGGTGCTTGAGGTTTGGTCCCTGCTGGAGCCCATCATTTGGTGAATAGCCTCCAGTGGGGCACTTAGATCTGTCAGGTGGGAAACGTTGGATAGCCTTCCACGAAAAAGAATGGGAACAGGATAGTTGACTTTATTCGTTTTCAAGAAGTCTCAATGATCACACCAGCTCTTTTGCTTCGCAAACGTTGTTTGAAGCTCAGAATTTGTCCATGAAATGAAAGACATGAAAGATGCTCCATGTTAGGAATGAGAAACGCCATTTCTCCATGTACACCTGAGGACCAATGCCAGCTGTACCATCTTGATGGTCGGATGTATGGTGTTGCTCTCAGCGCGTCCTGGAGATCTGGCTGCTGATCAGTAGATACCATAGCAAGTCTATAGCAGGTTTGGGTACCAATTGCTGCCGCTTGGCCTGTCCCAAGAGGATCCTCAACCTCTCTTACTTCAAGCCCTGCTCCGGCGTTTTTTGGGAGGGGAACCAACGTCCCCACTGAGGATGGCTCCGTTCTGAAGCTGAGTCCGAGCCTTAAAGATGGCCAACACCCAGCTGATCCTCCAGCGTTTGCCAGGAAAGAGGCCCTCTAACAACAAGGAAAGAATGATTCTCCGTGAGTCTATCCTCTTTGCACCACTTACATATCTTAATCTCCATGACACTGACACTCCATGTGTCCCATGTGTCAGAGAGCTTAGCGTCTCAGAAGGCAATTCTTTGGGTATCAAACATCCGACATTCAAATCTCAATATTTCCAATGAGTCGTAGCATCTTCCTAGCGTTGTATCTCTAAGGCCTTCCCAATGTCATGAACTCAGCATACGGCGGTGAAGGGTGGCTGCGTTACCTCTTTGCACCGGTTGACAAGAGCGTTTGCCAGGAAAGAGGCCCTCTAACAACAAGGAAAGAATGATTCTCCGTGAGTCTATCCTCTTTGCACCACTTACATATCTTAATCTCCATGACACTGACACTCCATGTGTCCCATGTGTCAGAGAGCTTAGCGTCTCAGAAGGCAATTCTTTGGGTATCAAACATCCGACATTCAAATCTCAATATTTCCAATGAGTCGTAGCATCTTCCTAGCGTTGTATCTCTAAGGCCTTCCCAATGTCATGAACTCAGCATACGGCGGTGAAGGGTGGCTGCGTTACCTCTTTGCACCGGTTGACAAGACTTTGTCTACTGTGATGCCAGTTGTTTTGGGCGCGCTATTTTCACTTTTAGTGGTTTACGTGTTTTTGTTCTCAGCTGCTGGTGCTTCTTCCCCAGCCGTTTTTTTTTCTTTGGTGTGTGCTCTCTTCTTAAATACCTCATTGAAATGGCTGCATTGAGGGGGAGGAACTGATGTGCAAGACGCTTCACAGTCCCTACAACGGTGGAACAGCACAGGCAGGGAACTTGGTCAAGTCTGTAGACGATAGCTGCGTCAGTCGGTTGTGGATCAAATCTGGAGACGTAGATATGGGATATGGGATGATGTTTGATGTTGGGCATTTCGTCTATTTCAGCAATCCAAATTATAAGTTTGAGTTCATGCCTGTTTGGTAAAATACAGTGACAACTCTAATCAAAGTCAAAGGACTCAGAGCTGGGAACAGGGATGGTGTGCGGGCAACCTCTTGCAGGTCGTCTGCAGCCGAGACAGCCTCACTCTCAGCTCTGGCGGGTCATTGGGAGTTGACCAACAAACTTTGGGTCAAAATCTAAGCTGCTGGGATACAGAAACTGATGGGAGGGTTGTCTTATTCAAGTAGAGGGGGGATACCAAAAACTGCAATTCAAACAGAAATCATGATGAGAAACCAGGGCCTTGGGGGTACCCAATTCTTAGACACCCATATAGTAATTTCGTTTGAACCAAACCGGCCGTTGCCCGAGTTGCCACATCTTAGAACCCCTAAACTTCAACACAGAACCCAACCCATGGACTGGGACGAGTATTGTCCAATACACTGGCCATATTTTGGGTTCCTTTGGGTGAATCATAACATCTACAGACCTGAGGTACTGTGGCCATGAGCACTGGTGGCGCAGCCGGGGTTGCCCAGGGAACAAGCTGTCAGTGTTGAAAATTAATGGTGGCTGGGTAGCTGGCACCTTATCTCTTGCTGGAAACTTAGATGCCTGCAATATCCGAATCCTTTTTTGGTCGGACCCTGGAACGCCTTTCATGTAACATTAAAAGTGTCATCGCTTTGCACTTTTAGGACGGACCTTGGGGCACACTAGGAATGTGCAAGAATGTCAGACTTGAAAGTCATCCACTCAGGGTGAACTGGAACCCCACTTGTTTTTCCGCACTTGAAATGGACCTTCCCTGGAATCCATTTCGGAAGTTATGTGTGCATGTCAAGCTTCAAGAATCCTTCAGCCACAGGTTGGCTGCTGTTTTTCGGGCACGGATTGCATTGAATGATTTGCAAATTTCCAGGGTCCACAACTTGGGAATCGGCTCTAAGGATGGGATCTTGGTGTGGAGCGAACCTGGATCTGAAATCACCGTGGCTCCTGCCAGCTGCTGAGAGTTGTGAGTTTGGGACATGTGACCTGGGTGTTTACCCAAACTGGCATTTCCCCCTTTCATCAGGGCTTCCTCCATGAAGTTCCATGAAAAGGCGATGAAACGCACTTGGATGACCAGCCATGACCGCCCTCAGGACGATACTCATCTCAAGGGTCCAGATGCATCAGCCTCAGAGCCACGATCGGTTGAATGATGATTGTGTTGGGTTGCGTGTTGAGGATAACCCAGTAGTGTTTGCGGGCTTGCGAGTGCAACTGAATGATTCAGGATACCCGAAATCTCGAAATCCCAGAATTGCCATACTGATACTTGCGGAAAACATAAAAACACGTGAAAAACATGGTGCCCTGCAGTGCCCTTGAATCAACCTATGGAAAGGACTGATAGCCCCGCCCGAACCACCCTCTTCCAACAGGATGAAGCATTCGGTGATGAGAGTGCGGCGCAGTTTGCCTTTGAGTGGGGCTGGCACAGGTTGCAGGTTGTGGCAGCTCGGGGTAATATTGGCCACTGGAAACATATATGAATCATTATGAACCATTGGGTTATGAATCGTACAATTGGTGAAAGAATCATGATTTTGATTTGGGGCCTGAACTTTTACTAATCCTCCACAATTTACGAAAAAATGGAATGAAGTCCCAGTACTCGTACCGCTACCCTTTGCCAGGTTGGATGACACTGACGTCAACGCATTTCCCGCTTGGGTTCCACCTGCGGCAGGCGGGACACCCTGCGCAAAATGTTGGGGAGCAGGTTTCACAGCCCATCAACCGATAGGTTTTCTAGCGCGGATATGAGCGCAATTCCTGAGGACGCGTAATGACTTTGTGGCTACCTGTGACAGAAAGCCTACTGCCACCGAAGAGTTGCGAGACAAGCACTGAAACTGCGAAATGGGTTCGATGGCCAGGGCCACTTGGGATCGTGACACCACAGCCATTTCTAGATGATTATTCCATATCTTTCCCATCAAAAATTGGGATTGCGATGTTAGATTGCGATGTTAGATTCCCGGAGGGCCAGGTGGCTCAAACGTGTTGGCATCCACACGCGGCTGGACTCACGCTTCCAGGTGCTGATGCCGCGAAGGGCGATGACGAGGACAGATGATTTTTGTTGGTGGGATATGGCCGCTATGGGATTCCATGTGAAAGCTCTAGAGGTATGATCAGCATTTAATTATGCTTCAAACATCTTCAAACAGATATTACCAACCTTATCAATCCTTATCAAACATTGTGACAATATCTCTGGATTTTTTTTACCATCAGAGGAGGAGGTACTGCAATATACTGCAATATGGATGCATATTTTGCATATATCTTGCTTGGCAGGAAGTGGAGCTTTCGGCCCAGCACTCAGTGGATCTTTCTGTGGCTCTCTGGGCTGTTCCGAGGTGCACATTTGAAACTACTCAAAGTTTCGTTTGAATCAACTGGACGGGTATGACAGCTATATATAAATATAATATAATTGATATTTGCTGTTTTGGGTATGTGCGACAAGTTTAGACCCCAGATACTAACTAGTACTTTTTTCCTGAATTGAAGAATTTGTTTCCTGAGCGCAACGATGCCTAATCAATGGATCAATCCAACACCATAAACATCCATAAACCAAATCCAATGACTTTCCATTTGCGTCTTTTGATCATCCCCCAATTGGCTGTTTCTTCTAAGCTTGAGCTTCCGGTCTAAGCTGGTGGGCAATCTCAGGAAGAAGCTGCGGCCAAGCGAAAGCTGATGACTCATGAGGTGCTGCCATTTTTTCAACTCACAAATTTTGTGTTTTTAATGATGGAACATTTACACGAAAGCCCCATATTTGCCAGGTAAGTCCATTGCAAGTCCATGGTAAATCCACGGTTTCCTGCAGGTTTTCCCACCACCCGAGTGACCCACGCTTCAACGCTGCGGCAGATCGAAGCCTTGCGAAAGAAGCTGCGCATCCTCGTCGATCACAACAGAAACGCGCCGGATTTGGAAAAGCTCGCAGCTCAGTTTTTCGATGCCCACCCCCAAGCCACAAGCCAAATGCAGTTTAACTGGAGTATAATCCTAATGGATCCTAATCCCAGAACACCCAGTCGTCACTAGGTTACAAACTGCTTCCTCACCCAGTTGCTTCCACAATAGTTCAGTTCATAGATGGTTCTATAATAACTAAATGACTTCACAGAGTATATATATAGTTATATAATATATATAGTTATAGTTATCCTATAGTTCATAGATGATCGCATGGCAGATTATATCGATGATCTTATTTTTGCTGGTTGATATTCCCATTGCCCCAAGCAGCGAAGGTTGGATCGCTCGGAGTTCTGCGTGGACTTCGAGGAACGCGACGCCATTGGAGCCAAGTCCAAGGACAGCGGCGACTTGGGGACTTGGGGATGGATGGTTTGACCTCCAGTAAAGCTATTGAAGTTGCTGGGACTTTACATAAAATCCCATAAAATCCCCCATTAAATCCCACGTGTCTAGTTGGGGATGGATGATTCAAGAGGATGTCACCAACAAAAACATGGATTTCAAGCAACAAGAATGGGAAGCCGAGGTTCAAACACTTCGTGCCCTCCCATACCCAGACACAAGCTGATGTTATTGGGATGAGTGCCTCAGCTCCACCTCCAGCTTTTTTTTTGAATCAGCAATTTTAGACCCAAAGATTTCAGGGCGAATGTTCCACGACTGTTCCCATGAGATCCTCGAACCAACTCTCCTGGGAGGAGCGCTGCGACGCCCTGCGGGCGGAGATCGAGCACCAGAACGTAGCCAGGCCGACGGGGGCTGTAGCTCTGAGGAGATCCACCACAGATGGTTGATTTCAGAGAAAATACCAATGGTCTTTACGTGGTTTTACATGTCCTTCATGGCTTTATTTATTGGAACTAAGTTCCAATCTGCACAGAGTCAATTTGGGATCAAATGACTTAAATGTGTGTGGATGATGTCTTTGAAAATCTGGAATCATGGAGATTTGGAAGCCACCAATGACAGCCAGGAAATCAGCAAACAAACAGCAGGGGCATTGGGGGTCAACGGACGCAACGTTCATCCCGTGAGGCAGTTGATTCGAGATCGGCTCATCAAAGAGTGTGGCCCTCAGCAACTTGAAATACGAGGATTTGCTTGGAAGGAGGCAGAAAACCACGATATTATCATACTCCATGACTTGAAAAATGTGCGCCAGTTGCCATTGAACATACTCAAAGTATCTCAAACTTTCCATTCTGAGGTCATTTCTAGATATTTCTAGAATTTCCAGCAAAACAACATTTTTACAATCAGGGCATATCAAAGATCCGCTATACTATACATATATTCCATGAATTTCCATGATACCACCAGCATCACCAGCATGGTTCCGTCCATCACGACCGAGCTACAGAGGTTTTGGGATCCCATGCGCGGCAAGGGCTGTCAGATCACCTCCCTGACCTCGACCCTGGCCGTGTCCAACTACCCCGAGCGGACCGTCAGTGAGGCCTGGAGACCTGGGTAGGTTGGGAAGAACTGGTTGAAGGAATTTCGCAGTTTGATGATGTTTGATATGGAAATGGAAACATGAAACAACTGGCAATTGAGTTTTGTGGAAATTGTTGTTTTGAATTGACTATTCGGCTGTTGTGCACCCAGGAGGAAAGCACCATCACACGCAAGCTGCGAATGCTGCGCAAGAGCGAACAGCTCGAATTCCAAATGCCCAGGCCTCAGGGTGAAACGATGGAGTCCAAATCCACAGATCATGTCATGATTCATGAACTCACAATGTTTTGTCTGACAAGAACTAGAAATCACACTTGGTATTGCTCACAGTCAGTGTTTTCCAGTGGTGGGTTGCATTTACCCAGGCTGAAGGACTCCAGTTGTCCCACGGAACTGAAGAAAGACATGGTGCTGGACGTGGATCACTTCGCCTCAGGCTGTGGATTGAGCTTCCCTCATGGGAGTTTACCATCAAAAAGTGTGGAAGGGAAGTTCTACTGGAGATGTGCGGGATGATGGCAATCCGCAATCCATGCTACAATCTACTTTTGACCATGGCATGTATAAAATAACTTTGTTGTCATTTGTTGGATGCGTGCTACACTAAACCGCCTGGGGATGAAAAAGTGGACAGGGCAGGATTGATAGGACATCTATCTTCAAACCCCAGGGTGATTCAAAGAAAAGATCGAAAACGGCCAATTGTTGCTGTAGTGTTTCGATGCGAGACTGTGCCATCCATGAAGTAGCAGGTCATTGCTTGTGTTGTGGCTCCACCCAGCTATCACCCTTGGGTAGTACCTTGTAGTCCTGTAGTACCACCGCCGGCTCTGAGAGGCAAAGAACAGTACGTGGTGAATTGGTGGCCGGGCGCGCATAGCAAGGCGGGAGGGTGCCGGGGTATGGTCAAGCAGACAGGATCGAAGCCACGTTCTGCACTTGACTTTTTGCACTGGAACTTGTTGTGTTCAATTTTTGCACTTGTTGTTTGCACTGTTCATGTCATGCGAAGGGTGTGGCCTGAAAGGTGCCGAATCTCTGAACTAAATTAGCATTAGTTGAGGTGCTTCAAAAGACCATTCTCGCCGCATCCCGCAGTAGCAGGCTCTGTTCAGAACAAGCAGTGCACAGATACAAGATACTGAAGATAATGTATAGCTACTTTGAAGCGCAGTAAGCCATACATATTCCTCTATATACTCAAACTTTGAGCTTTTCAACTCTGCATCCATAGTGGGCAGATTGGATTATCTGAGAATTGCCATAGATCTTCTATGATCTTCTAAATTTTCCAACTTCTAAGCAATCCTGCACTGCATACCACCTCTCAAGGACAGTCCACCAAGTGAAATCAAGATCCGAGCAGTCAGCAAGTCAAGCTCTCGCTGCGGCATAGCAGCCCGTGTTGGTGTTATCGAGTGCCAACCTCAGCACAACACAGTGGGATGGCCGATCAAGAGATCCTTGGTCAAGTTATGCACCCCCTTCTTTTTTAAAACATATAGCCGTGTAGCATTAATTGCAAGTGCAAAGTGCAAACCACAATTTGAAATGATGCTTCGTTCTTCTTGCAAAAACGTCATGTATTCGCAGTAGAATGTGGCTAGGTTTACCAACAAGCAGCACCATCCCCATAGAAGATAATGCGTGCCAACCCAATAGGTCCAGTTGCAAGGGACTGTATCTCGCCCTCACCTCAGGATTGTTTGCAAGTTCAGTGCCACAAGAGACCTGGCCACCTATGCGCGTCCTGGTCAAGAAGATGAAGATGCATACATAGCTGCAGAGGCAGCCACCATGTGGGATAACATCCCTGCCATTCGCAACCATGCGAACGAGATCCTGAGATTGCTTGGCGCTGCAACTGGAGAAGAGCCGCCAGTCAGGACCTCAGACAGGGTCGCGTAGGTAACGGCTTGATTTGCAGGTGGAAAATGGTGGACATGCTTTCCGTTTTAACACCAGAGTTAGGTGCAAAACGAGGTGGGCCTGCCTGCAAAAATGAGGTAGATCAAAATTGAAGGCTTTAGGTGTTAGGGATCAAAACGAGGCAAGGTAGGGTCCGCCTCGCCTTTTGCAGTAACCTCACAACTTATATATGTCCCTCAAATGAACAATGATGAATGATATTGAATGATTATAGCTTTTATTGGGTGGAACAAAATTGGGGCTTAGGGGATTTTAGGGGTGTTCCAAGCCCGTCCCCTGTAAATGGTCGTGAGACGGCTCCGCACCAGGCTGACCAGATCCTGAGACTGGAAGATCTGAACAATGTCCTGGGTGTGTTCTGGGCGGTTCACGAATGTGCCAGGGACGCAGCACACCCAGCTGCGCGTCAGAACTGGAGAGCCGCCTCTGGACAAATCGTTTCTGCCAGTCGGAGAGCTGAGGAGCTGCTGCAGCCATCCCTATTCGTGGAAGTTTTCCCTGAGGAGCTGCGTCCAGATGCTGCCGCGTCAGTTGCCTTCACGCATCCCACAGCTCGATCTCACCCACAGGCCCCTGTTGAGGGGAGTGTCACAGCAGTGACATGGAGCGTGACAGAAGAAACGCGAACAAAAGGGAACGCTGAGGCTTTCAACCTTCCTGAAGTTGTTGCAGGAGGGGAGACAGAAGCAGAACTACAGGCCTTGGAGCACACTCTCCTGGAATTGCGAAGTACAAAAGAGAGTGAAGACCGCCCCAACATTGCTGCGACACTGCTTGCACTGGGCCAAGTGAGCCAGAGGGCTGGAGATCTCAAGCAAGCAAAAGATGAGTGAAGACCGCCCTGACAACACTGCTTTGGGCTGAGCGCACATCTGCACTTGCACATGGGTCCTGAAGACTGCATGCACTAGGGCAGTGAGCAGGCTGGAGATCTCAAGCAAGCAAAGCAGCACTTGGATGAGTCCCTGCGAATGGAGCGCTCCTTGCATGGGGACAAGGATCACCCTGACATTGCTGCGACACTGCATACACTAGGGCAAGTAAGCATGCAGGCTGGAGATCTCAAGCAAGCAAAGCAGCACTTGGATGAGTCCCTGCGAATGGAGCGTTCCTTGCATGGGGACAAGGATCACCCTAACATTGCTGGGGCACTGTTTGCACTGGGCCAAGTGAGTCTGCAGGCTGGAGATCTCAAACAAGCAATGCAGCACTTGGATGAGTCCCTGCGAATGAAGCGTTCCTTGCACGGTGACAGGGATCACCCTGACATTGCTGCGATACTGCTTGCACTGGGCCAAGTGAGCCGGCACGCTGGGGATCTCAAGCAAGCAAAGCAGCACTTGGATGAGTCCTTGCGAATGGAGCGCTCCTTGCATGGTGACAGGGATCACCCTGTCATTGCTGCGACACTGCGTGCACTGGGCCAAGTGAGCCTGCAGGCTGGAGATCTCAAGCAAGCAAAGCAGCACTTGGATGAGTCCCTGCGAATGGAGCGCTCCTTGCATGGGGACAAGGATCACCCTGTCATTGCTGCGACATTGCATGGACTAGGGCAAGTGAGGCAGCGGGCTGGAGATCTCAAGCAAGCAAAGCAGCACTTGGATGAGTCCCTGCGAATGGAGCGTTCCTTGCATGGGGACGGGGATCACCCTGACATTGCTGCGATACTGGATGCACTGGGCCAAGTGAGCCGGCAGGCTGGAGATCTCAATCAAGCAAAGCAGCACTTGGATGAGTCCCTGCGAATGAAGCGCTCCTTGTATGGGGACATGGATCACCCTAGCATTGCTGAGACACTGCTTGCACTGGGCCAAGTGAGCCTGCAGGCTGGAGATCTCAAGCAAGCGATGCAGCACTGCAATAAAACTTTGCGAATGCAGCGCTGCTTTCATGGGGACAGGGATCACCCTGACATTGCTGCGATACTGCATGCACTGGGGCACGTGAGCCTGCAGGCTGGAGATCTCAAGCAAGCAATGCAGCACTTGGATGAGTCCCTGCGAATGAAGCGTTCCTTGCACGGGGACAGGGATCACCCTGACATTGCTGCGGTACTGGATGCACTGGGCCAAGTGAGCCGGCAGGCTGGAGATCTCAATCAAGCAAAGCAGCACTTGGATGAGTCCCTGCGCATGAAGCGTTCCTTGCATGGGGACAGGGATCACCTTGACATTGCTGCGATACTGGATGCACTGGGCCAAGTGAGTCTGGAGGCTGGAGATCTCAATCAAGCCAAGCTGCACTTTGATGGGTCCTTGCGAATGGAGCGCTCCTTGCATGGTGACAGGGATCACCCTAGCGTTGCTGCGACACTGCATGCACTGGGCCAAGTGAGTCTGCAGGCTGGAGATCTCAAACAAGCAATGCAGCACTTGGATGAGTCCCTGCGAATGAAGCGTTCCTTGCACGGTGACAGGGATCACCCTGACATTGCTGTGCTATTGAATGCACTGGGCCAAGTGAGCCTGCAGGCTGGAGATCTAAAGCAAGCAAAGCAGCATTTGGATGAGTCCCTGCGAATGGAGCGCTCCTTGCATGAGGACAGGGATCACCCTGACATTGCTGCGACACTGCATGCACTGGGCCAAGTGAGTCTGCAGGCTGGAGATCTCAAACAAGCAATGCAGCACTTGGATGAGTCCCTGCGAATGAAGCGTTCCTTGCACGGTGACAGGGATCACCCTGACATTGCTGCTGCGACACTGCATGGACTAGGGCAAGTGAGGCAGCGGGCTGGAGATCTCAAGCAAGCAAAGCAGCACTTGGATGAGTCCCTGCGAATGAAGCGTTCCTTGCATGGGGACAGGGATCACCCTGACATTGCTGCGATACTGGATGCACTGGGCCAAGTGAGCCTGGAGGCTGGAGATCTCAAGCAAGCAAAGCAGCACTTGGATGAGTCCTTGCGAATGAAGCGTTCCTTGCATGGTGACAGGGATCACCCTAGCATTGCTGCGACACTGCGTGCACTGGGCCAAGTGAGCCTGCAGGCTGGAGACCTCAAGCAAGCCAAGCTGCACTTTGATGGGTCCTTGCGAATGGAGCGCTCCTTGCATGGTGACAGGGATCACCCTAGCGTTGCTGCGATACTGCTTGCACTGGGCCAAGTGAGTCTGCAGGCTGGAGATCTCAAACAAGCAATGCAGCACTTGGATGAGTCCCTGCGAATGAAGCGTTCCTTGCATGGGGACAGGGATCACCCTGACATTGCTGTGCTATTGAATGCACTAGGGCACGTGAGCCGGCAGGCTGGAGATCTCAAGCAAGCAAAGCAGCACTTGGATGAGTCCCTGCGAATGGAGCGCTCCTTGCATGAGGACAAGGATCACCCTGACATTGCTGCGACACTGCATGCACTAGGGCAAGTAAGCATGCAGGCTGGAGATCTCAAGCAAGCAAAGCAGCACTTGGATGAGTCCCTGCGAATGAAGCGTTCCTTGCATGAGGACAGGGATCACCCTGACATTGCTGCGATACTGGATGCACTGGGCCAAGTGAGCCTGCAGGCTGGAGATCTCAATCAAGCAAAGCAGCACTTGGATGAGTCCCTGCGAATGAAGCGCTCCTTGTATGGGGACATGGATCACCCTAGCATTGCTGAAACACTGCTTGCACTGGGCCAAGTGAGTCTGCAGGCTGGAGATCTCAAGCAAGCAAAGCAGCACTTGGATGAGTCCCTGCGAATGAAGCGTTCCTTGCATGGGGACAGGGATCACCCTGACATTGCTGCGATACTGGATGCACTGGGCCAAGTGAGTCTGCAGGCTGGAGATCTCAAGCAAGCAAAGCAGCACTTGGATGAGTCCCTGCGAATGGAGCGCTCCTTGCATGAGGACAAGGATCACCCTGACATTGCTGCGATACTGGATGCACTGGGCCAAGTGAGTGTGCAGGCTGGAGATCTCAATCAAGCAAAGCAGCACTTGGATGAGTCCCTGCGAATGAAGCGCTCCTTGTATGGGGACATGGATCACCCTAGCATTGCTGAGACACTGCTTGCACTGGGCCAAGTGAGTCTGCAGGCTGGAGATCTCAAGCAAGCAAAGCAGCACTTGGATGAGTCCCTGCGAATGAAGGGTTCCTTGCATGGGGACAGGGATCACTCTGACATTGCTGTGCTATTGCATGCACTAGGGCACGTGAGCCGGCAGGCTGGAGATCTCAAGCAAGCAAAGCAGCACTTGGATGAGTCCCTGCGAATGACGCGTTCCTTGCATGGGGACAGGGATCACCCTGACATTGCTGCGATACTGGATGCACTGGGCCAAGTGAGTCTGCAGGCTGGAGATCTCAAGCAAGCAAAGCAGCACTTGGATGAGTCCCTGCGAATGAAGCGTTCCTTGCATGGGGACAGGGATCACCCTGACATTGCTGCGATACTGGATGCACTGGGCCAAGTGAGTCTGCAGGCTGGAGATCTCAAGCAAGCAAAGCAGCACGTGGACGAGTCCTTCCGAATGATTTTTCTAGCATTATGTGGGTTCGTTTTCCTGGCAAATTGCATTGTCCTCAGACACTTTTTGAGCGGTAAGGTTTGAAGATTTAAGTCTCAAGTATATGTCGCAGCACTTGAATGACGAGTCTCTCCAGAGCTCTCACAGAGATGAGGGCTTGGTGAGTCACCGAAGTCCTCATGTAATTTGGATTTGCCCAAGCTCTGTACACCAACCACTGCTGGCTTCATAATAAAAAGGGGTTGCTTGGTCCTTCATTGGCTTCTTCTGAGTTGCCCATTGTGACAGCTGTAAACAAACAAGATCAACCAAAGGCCCTTCAATCCTGGTCATGCTTGAAAATTCTTGGTTTCTGATGGTCCAGCACAGAGCGTTGCTGCCCAAGGGAAGCAAGCGCATTTGGACCAGGAAAGATCGACTCGTTAAGAATCATTCACCAGCGTGCCTTACTGGAAATTTCCAAAATGAGGGGCGGCTACCCCACGATGGGTCAACTTCAACTTCCACTTCTTTTATTGGCTAGTGACTAGTGCCTCAAAGGTTCCTGATGATCGCATGCGGCTTCAGAACACTGAAAGTATTAGAGTTGGCAAATTGCCAACATCCTAATTCGAAATTGGTAAGTTCCTGAAACTTCCCAACCAGCCCCAACCATCCCCAACCATCCCCAGCATGTCCAGGCCTCGGCGGCCCGTGCCAAGCAGCTGGCCGACGCCGAAGCGGAGGCGAAGCGCATCGCAGCGCAGCTTGGCGTGTTTGTTTCGTTGTTGGAGCTGGTGAGTGGGATGCTGCTAGGAATGGGGATTATGGAAACGGCCGAAAAGACTGAAGATGATGGACATTGAGGATATTTGAGGGTGATTTGACCAACACATATGGATTCTTGCCAGCATAAACGTGGATTTGAGATGATTTGACAAGAAGCACGTGTGTTTTCCTTTGCATTTGTTTCCAAACAACAAACATGGCCGCTACTGCTTCGGGTAAATAGCTTTTCCATAGGGTCACGGGTCACACTGACCAGCTAACTGGGATGATCATCCAAGCATCACGATGCGATCAGAATCCATCTGACTTCATGGCAATTGATGAAGAATCTAAGGGAGAAGAAGGCCATGGGCTCAGGGACGCGCATCTTGGGGCGGGGAGGATATGCCCGAAGAGCTATTCGGAAATCAATCGAACCATCAAAATATCGATGACACCTTTGCTTTGTTTTGACACCATCAATGCCATCCGCTTGCAGATTTTTTCAGGCCAAAGAGGATGCCGAAAAGCAAAAGGCACCAGTAGCAATGGAGTGTTTGGTTTGTGCAAGTTGTGTGAGAGAATTCGTCGCAGAGAACTTGGCCTTTGATTTGTTGACTTGCACAGGAGAAGGACAAAGGTGGAAAAGAAAAGGACAAGGGTGAAGAGATAGGCAAAGTGGGTCCCAAACCCACGGGATTCCCCTACTGCTGTTGTACTGACAGACAGCATTCACAGACGGAAGTTGACTGTAAGCAGGGCAAATGATCGGAGATTGGGTCTTAGTTATCGCCCTCCGAAGTGCGGTCAAGCAGGTGTCAAGATGATGGAAGATGGAGGAGGAACAAGTGCGGATTCGGCTTCTCATTTGCACCCAGAGAACATCTTGCGGTTTCTGACCCCACTCCTGTCCCATCGAACCACAGCTCAGGTGTAATCAGCCAGTCCAAATCGCCAATGTTTGTTGACTCAATCATCATTGTTGCAGCCTATGTACTCCCATCAATTTGTACCTGGGATGGGATTGATGCTTCCGAGCTTCCCCAATCAAATTTTCTCCGGTCGCATTTGGGGAGCCCATCCCAGCTACTTTTCAGCTACCCAGATTGTGGCGGAAGAGCAGAAGTACCTCTACGAACCCTTTGAGCTGGTCACCAACAGCCGCCGACGTTTGCAGGCGATTTTTTGGTCTGCACAGCGATTGGCTCATGGCGGAATCAGAGTGAGAGTGCCACGTGACCAGATGCGCTTTTTTCAAGATCTTTTTTCAGAGTTTCATCCACTTCTCATGTACTTGGAGGAATACAATTCCGATTTTGAAAAAGTCTTAACATATTTATCGCAATATTATCAATATTATATCAATATTATTCAATATTTATATCATTTGCCTACCCAAACTTTTCCAGAACTTACGATTCTTCAGTTCCACATCCTCCAGTTGGACCTTCTGTCCAGATCCATTTGCTTCAATCCTTGTCCGCGGACTACCGAATGCACTTCAACGAGCTCTTCAAGGCTGGCAGCAAACCACCAGAAGACCACAGTATGAGGATTTCCATTGGCATGTGCTAGTAATTAACATGTTATGACTTGTGATTTATGACCCCACTTGCCTCAAGTCTTCTTAAATCTCAGGCATGTTGAGTACATGGAAGGAACTTTGGCAAGTTAGTCAGGTCAGGTCAGGTCAAAACCATTGCGCATCCCACTGGAGCATTGAAAAAGAACCGTGATCACAGTCTGTGGCTGTTGAAATTCAGCTTGCAAGCAACTGTTTATATGGCACCTAGCGCCGATTCTCCTCTGATTTGTTTCGTTTAATGCGCTGGACACCGCTTCCGCTGACAGAGTCATCACCACATTTTCTTTTGAATCCTTCAATCCTGAACCCCAACCACCACCCCGCAACCCACAAACCCAATCCCCGAAGCACACTGCCAGGCATGCCAGGGTGATAAGAGGAACATCATCGCCGCGAGCTCAGCAGTTGCAGAGTTGCAGCAGGCAGCTTCCTTGGGGATGGGATTCATGGCCAGCTGGATAAGAAACATCCCAATGAAACAAGTGGAGTCACCAAACAGGATCTCATTGGACTAGCATTGAACCCTACAAAATCGTGCATTGATCACCATTCCCCAAGGAATTTTGATTGGGATATTTGCATCTGTGATAGGTTGAAGGGGTACCGTTCCAGTGGACCAAGGATGGTATCAAAGAAAAGTGCAGCAGAATCCGTCAGATCCTGGGGGCCTTCGGCCTCAGCTTTGTGGGTCATAACTGGTCACATAGGATGGACAGATCTCCTTCAAATACTGTATATGATAGGTGCATATATGCGACATTGATACAGTGCATGACAATATGCCCAGCAGTGTGGGAATGTATCAAGACCAATTGTCCACAAGATGTGCAGTTCAAGATCTCCAAATCGTCGTTTCTCTC